AGAGTTTTGCATTTAGAAAAGTTACCAATTAGTGGAATATTTTTTGAACCGAATTTTTAATGACCCAACTTTTTATTCAAAGAGCTTTGCACTGAAACTTTAGTCAAATTTAAAACTACCAATTGAAGTATGTAGTAAAATTTAACAAACACGGTTCGGATTGTGCGACTTTTTCGACTTTTCTAAGGAAATGTGGCTTTTTTCGACTTTTTTGTGAATAAATGCGACTAATCGACTTTTTCGAAACTTATTTTAGTAAAATGCGAATGAAATTTAAATTTTTTTTTTAAATTTAAAGGAAAAAGTTTGAGTTAAAAAAATGTTCTGTTACATTTATTTACAAATTTCTTTCAAATTTTTCGAAAACATCAATAACTTCTTTTTTAAATAAATATTTAATTATTATTTTTCCATAGAAATTAAAATTCTTCAAAAGATTCAAATTCAAACCTTTTTGAAATTAAATATCTTATAAAAAAATTGTTATAAAACATGAAGAAATCGATCACTCCGAGTCTTCGACTCGGAGCAATCGATGTCTTCATGTTTTATAATAATTAAAGATGACCGAGTGATAAAATCATTAATTTAAATTCTAAGACTTTATAAAAAAAATTATTTTAATAATTTTTTATGCAAATAATTGAATTATTGGGAAGAAATTTATAAAACACTAGTAAGTAATTGAATTTTGCAGAAGAATGTTGATATTTATAAAGATAATTGAAATTTTGAAGAGAATTTAAAAAAAAATTTTTGAAAATAATTGAATTTCTGTGAAGAATTTTCTTACTTTTCAAGATAATTGAATTTTGAAAAAAATTGTATCAGATCTTTTTAAAATAATTAAATTTCCAGGATGAATTTTATTATTTATGAAGATAATAAAAATTTTAACGAGGAATTTGAAAAAAATTTTGAAAATAATTGAATTTCTGCGAAAAATTTTATTACTTTTGAAAATAATTGAATTTCTACGAAAAATTTTATTACTTTTGAAAATAATTGAATTTCTGCGAAAGAATTTTATTACTTTTGAAAATAATTAAATTTCTAGGATGAATTTTATTATTTACAAAGATAATTGAATATTTGAACAGATTTTTTAAAAAAATATTTAAAAGTAATTGAATTTTGCAGAAGAATTTTGATATTTATAAACATAATTGAAATTTTGAGGAGAATTTTAAAAAAAATTTTGAAAACAAATTGAATTTCTGAAAAGAATTTTCTTATTTTTGAAGATAATTGAATTTTGCAAAGAATTTTATCAGAACTTTTGAAAACAATTAAATTTTTATGATGAATTTTATTATTTATAAAATTTTGACGAAAGATTAAAAAAAAAATTTTAATATAATTGAATTGCTGCGAAGAATTTTATTACTTTTGAAAATAAATGAATTTCAGAGAAGAATTTTATGAAGACAATTGAAATTTTGACAAGAATTTGATTAAAATTTTTGTTAAATAATTGAATTTCGGAGAAGAATTTAATTATTTATAAAAATAATTGACATTTTAAAGAGAATTTTTAAAAAATTGTTAAAAATACCTAATTAAAATTTTGCTATGAATTTTATTAAATTTTTAAAAATTTTATTCCTGATTGTTTGATATTAATGTATCTATGAGAAATGTGATTTTTTTTTACAATTTTGACAATTTCGTGTTTCCTTTTTGTCGTTTTTTCTAAAATTTCATGCGACTTTTTTGGAAATTTTATGCGACTTTTTGTGACTTTTGTTGTAAATTTATGCGACTAAAGCTACTTTTTTTTGAGTCTTAAAGACGATTCGAACCCTGAACATATAGCAATTAGTGGAAATTTTTACTGATTTGAATTCGACGACTTTTCACTAATTTAGGAACACTCAAACTAAATTTTTTTATTTTTAAAACTTTCTATAGGTGCTGAAATATTGAAAATTAATAATGTAAATTCAACATTTTTACTTTTTTGTCGAAGAATTAATTTTTTTAATCAGCAAATTAAAATAGTAGTATAACAAAACCAACGCAACGGCGTTCATTTGAACTTTCCAAACTTTAGGGACATTCAGATTAACCAAGGAGAATTTTGTTTCATAATTGCCATGAAAGCAGAGAATTTATGAAAAATTCTTGAAATTCTAAAGTACAATAATTTGTAAATTTAATTAATGAAATGAATACATTGAGAAACATATGTTACCGCAAAAGAGTAATAAGAAATTGTTTTTTTCTTTTATCACTATAGAGCGTGTCTAATAGTCTCCCTTAAGTAATTTTCTTTAATTATAATTTACTGGGTGATTAGCTCAACTACAGTGTTGTACTCATATAAGCGCGTATAGTGTTACGGATGAAACTCGTGACGAAGTTTTTATCGATCACGAAAGGCAGTTGGACGTAGCGTGTGCGAATAGTTGATGTTGCTATACATATATATATATATATATATGCATAGTACAAAAGGTAGGCACGTGCTCGAGAACGAGTGACGTTATTTGTCTACAGCATAGCTATGTCGTTCAGTTTCGATATCATTCCCCCCTCCACTTGTCCTCTGCCCCAATGTATATTCTCTCGTCAGGTGCTTCGTGTTTTTCTCCTAGAAATCAAGTTTATCGTTTAACTGATGTGCTCCAACATCGGTCAAAACAGTTTGGTAAATTTTACTTGGACTGTTTGGTACTATAGGTGTATGTATAACGTCGACGTTTCATCTAGTGGTGTATATACCGACAATATATAGGTGTTTGAGTGCTGTGACGTCAGACGAAGTCCTGACGCGCTATTTCTGTCCAATGACAATTTGCATTTGCCACCTACCTTCCTTATTGAATCAACTTTCAATGAAAATCGAATTTTCTGCTTATTTATATGTATAAAATTTTGTTTTTTCTCTTTTTGTTTTGATCATTTTTCTTCAGGGTTTCTTCTTTTACTTTCAAAATTATTGCCTTTATCTTCCATTAACAGAGTTACCACTGGTTAGAGAAAAAAAATCCCTGACTTTCCCTAATTTGTCCCTAATTTCTAATTTATTATTTATAATTTATTATACTGACCAATAATTGATCAGGAAAATTAGGGAAAAGTCAGGGATTTTTGTTAAAAGTAGTAGAAAAAAATTTAATTTTTATAATTCAGGAGAAAATTCTGAATTTTTGTGCCTTTTTTGTTTGCTTCATAAACTATAATATAAAACCACGAATTCTATAATACAAAACATACAATTTTTTTCTATTTCTGACAATAATTTTTTTTTCTAAATAACTTGATTCTCTTTTGAAGAACTAGCATCAAATTAATACTTAGAAATTATTTTATGAATAATTTTACTTAAATATTTCAAAATTATTTAAATTTTGAGAATTGTCTTTACAATTTTCATAATTAAATTAATTTTTTAAAGGTTTCAATTTAAAATTTTATCAAATTTCAAATTTCAATGAATTTAATAAGATATTTTATAGAAAATAATTAAATTCATGCAACTAAGAATAAATTAAATTAGGGGCTGTCCATAAATTACGTAAGACATTTTTTTGGAAAATTTTACCCCCTCCCTCGAAAGATATTTTACATACATTAGCGCCATTTTTTCTATTGTTGGTAAGATCTTGCTGACCCCCCCCCCCCTCCTCCCTAAATGTCTTACGCAATTTCTGGACGGCCCCTTATTTTCAATAAAATTTCTGAAAAGAATTCATTTTCATTAATTCTTAAAATTTTTAATAAATTTCTTAGCAAAATTTCAATTATTTGAAAATTCATTTTTGCAAGAATTCAATTATTTTCAATACAATTTTTATAATTTTGTCTAATTTTCAAGTACTTTAAAATTCTTTGCAAGAATTCAATTATATTCAATACAATTTTGATAAAATATCTAAATTCAATTATTCTTAAAAATGTTGATAAATTTTTTTGCAGAATTTTAATTATTTTAATTTTTTCGCATGAATTTAATTATTCTTAAAATGTTTGATAAATTCACTTGCAGAATTTAAATTATTTTAAAATACTTTGCAAGAATTCTATTATAAACTCAATTATTCTTAAAAATTTTGAATTTTGAATGAATTTTATTAGAAATTTTAAAGAACTTAGTTTTTTGAAAAATGTTGATAATTCAAATTCTTTTGCAATTAGTTCAATTACTTTCTAAAAATTTAATAACATTCTTAGCAAAAATTTCAATTATTTTCAAAAATTTTCCTTCAATATAATGATTTTTAATATCTACTATTTAAATAAAATTTTACACAAGAATTTAATTATTTGAAAAAAATTTTAATAAAATTCTGCACAATAAATATTTAATTATTTTTATAAATAACAAAAGTTTCACAGAAATTCAATTATTTACAAATTTTTTTCATTTTTTTTTAATGCAATTTGTCAAAAGAATTCAATTCTTTGAAAATTTGTTGATAAAATTCTTTATGGGAATTGAATTTTAAGAAATATTCAATTATTCAATAAATTAATTATTTTTATATTTAAATAATCGAATTCTCCTACAATTTTCTAATAATAATTGAATACTAAAAGCATTATAGCAGATTATAGCATTAATTTTTAGAAATAATTGAATTTTGAAAATGTTTCAAATTCTAATCTTTGAAAATCTGAATTTTTCATACCTTTATAACTAACAATTTTGTGGAATGAATTTTTTGAAAAAGTTTAAAATTTCACTCTCTCGCATTTTTTCCACAAATTGTAAAATTCTTTTACAAAATTTAATATGTATGCCCCCCCCCCCGTGTGCAATATAATAATATTGCGTGTTTAATATTAATAAAATACATTATAATGTTTCTAGATATTTAATTTTGTTTTTTAAAGCAGTCAGTATATTTTTAAAATACTTACAGTGACACAAAATTTCCTTTATTTGAACATTCAGAACTTGTGAATCATGTTTTTGAACATAATTTTGTTTATAGGTTAAAAATAAAAGTATAGATAATAGAATAATTAATGTTACTCCTTTCTTTATTTTGCAGATAAAATATAATTGGCGTCCGGATTATTCTGGACATTCAGACACTGAAGGCGATGTGAGAAACAAATTGAAGATAAGGTAAGTTTTTGAGAGAGAAAATAATTCATTCTTTAGACTTTATTTTAATTTTTTATATTTTAAATTTGGCGTAAGGTACTTAAGTCGAAAGAGGGGATAAACGAAAGCACAGGGGTGGGGATAATGAGAAAGAGAGAGAAGACTCTGAACTTCTTTCTCACTCTCATTATCCCCACTCTAGCGCTTTTACGTTTCACTTTAGTTTATTTTAAATTAACCTGCAAAATAAAGTTTTTTGTTTACAAATCTAAATCTCTCTTTTTATTCGATTTGAATCGAGAAATGATTATGCTTTTGATAGGCGTGTAAAAAAAAGTTTGCATCAAAAATAAGGAAAATTCACTAAAACGGAAATTACTTTTCTCTCGTAGTGTTTCAATCGTGATTTGCTAATTTTTCCAATCAAGTAACGAATTTTGTTTATCAGCAATTTTTTCTATTTGTAAAGTTCAGTTTTTTCAGTAAAATGCAAAAAAAAGTTCAACTACTACGTAGCGAACAAAAAATTAATTTATCTGAATTTTTTCTATTAATTTTTAAAATTATTGATTTTATTACAGTATATTGTAATATTATTTTTTTTTCAATGAAAATAACAAAAAATAGTATTCAATGCTGAGCGACGATGCCAACTTCAAGGACATTATATATTTTATCATTATTAGAATTTCATTAATTTTAAAATTCAAAACATTAAAAAGAAAAATTACCACAAAACAAAAATTACGAATCAGTGAAAAGCAAACAAGAATAACTAATTTTAACCTACAAACAGACATCCGGAACTGAAAATTATTAATATGAACAATATTTATTTATTATTATAGGTAATATTATCATTATAATATTTTTTTCTTATCATAACATTATTTATTATCATAATTACCATAATGATGAAAGAGAAAAACTTTAAAGTCTCTTTTAAGTAACTAAATGCATTTTTAAGTTCCCTTTAAGTTATGCAAATATTTAAGAAGAGTTTGAATTCGGTTATCTGCTCTTAAAAGTAGTTTTTCTTTTAATTAGAAAGTTGAAAAACTAATTTTCCTCTATTTTAATTTAAAAATTTACAGTTTCTACAGAACTTAGTTATTTTTGAAAATTTTTTAAAACTTTGTTTATTTTAATCTAAATTTTTTAAATATAGAGTTATTTATTATCATAATACCAAAAGTTTAGAAGAATATTTGTTTAAAAAAACTTTTAGACGATGAATATATTATAAAGGGTATAGTAACTTTTTACTTACCATTTATAAATTAAAAATTAATAATATCGATGCAATTTATTTTTGTTTCAAACTTATACTCCTTTCATTATCTACTATTTAAATTTGAAGTGAGTAAAAATGTTCACTAATTTATTTTATAGTGAAAAACTTTTTGCTTTTTAATTACAGTTAAAATTTTCTAATAATTTTCTCATTAACTGGCCGTTAGAGGAAAATAAAACTCGCTCACAAACGAGATAGAATTGACTAGGTCCGTAAAATTCAATTATTTTTAAAAGTAATAAAATTCTTCACAAAATTTTAATTAGGTATGTTCAGAGATTAAAAAAAATTTCAATTACCTATCTTTAGAAATAATAAAATTCTTCTCCGAAATACGATTATTTTCAAAAATTTTATTAAAATTCTTGGCAAAATTTCAATTATTTTCAAATATTTTCCTCAATTCAATGTTTTTCAATCTAATATTTTAATTAAATTTTCCAAAAGAATTCAATTACTTAAAAAAATTTTAATAAAATTTTACACAAAAAATATTTCATTATTTTTATAAAATGATAAAAATTTCTCAGAAATTCAATTATTTACAAATTTTTTCGCAACAATTCAATTATTTTAATAAATAATAAAATTTTTACAGGAATTCATTTTGCACACAATCAAATTCTTTTTAGGAACTCAATTATTTTCATAAATAATAAAACTCATTTCAGAATTTCAATTATTTTTAATCAAATTCTTCGAAAAATGTAATTAATTATTCTTAAAAATTTTAAACTTCGTCAAAAGAATTCAATTATTTAAAAATTTGTTGATAAAATTTTTTTTGAGAATTTAATTTTAAGAAATATTAAGATATTCAATAAATTTTTTTGTATTTAAATGATAGAATTCTAATAGAATTTTCTAATAAAAATTGATTTAGAAATAAATCTCAGTTAAAAACAAATTATCTTGAAAATTCTCAAGAAAAAACTTTTTCAAAAAGTTATTAGGTAAAAAATAATGGATTTATAGAAAAATTTTAGTTAAAAACACTAAAAAAATTTAATTTTGGAGAAATTACATATGATTACAGAAATTCGGAAAATGTAATTAATTATTCTTAAATATTTTATTAAAATTCGTCAAAAGAATTCAATTATTTAAAATTTTGTTGATAAAATTCTTTATCAGAATTTAATTTTTGAGAAACATTAAAATATTCAATAAATTATTTATTTTTTATTTAAATGATTGAATTCTATTAGAATTTTCTAATAAAAATTTATTTAGAAATAAATTTTTGTTAAAAACAAATGATCTTGAAAATTCTCAAAAAAAACTTTTTCAAAAAGTTATTAGGTACAAATAATGAATTTATAGAAAAATTTTAGTTAAAAACACTAAAAAAAATTTAATTTTATATGATTACAGAAATTCAATTATTTTCAAGAGTATAATAAAATCCTTCGAAGAAATTTAATTATGTTAAAAAATAATAAAATTCTTCTTAAGAAATCAATTATATTCATAAATCATAAAACTCATCGCAGAGTTTCAATTATTTTTAAAACAATTTTAATCGAATTTCTCGGAAAATGTAATTATTCTTAAAAATTTAATTAAAAATCGTAGAAAGAATTCAATTATTTAATAATTTTTTGATAAAATTCTTTATGAGAATTGAATTTTAAGAAGTAATGAATTATTCAATAAATTATTTTTTTTGTATTTAAATGATTGAATTCTAGTAGAATTTTTTGATAGAAATAAATTTAAAAATGAATGAATGAAGTTGAAATTTTATCAATTGGCCATTTTTAATTATTATAAAACATGAAGAAATCGATCATTCCGAGTCGAAGACTCGGAGTGATCGATATTTTCATGTTTTATAGTTATGAAAAAATTTAGAAACTGCGTTTTGGAAAATAATAAAAATTTTTTTTAAAAATATAATTCATGAAAATAATATTTAGAAAATATTAATACATAAATATAATTTTTAGAAATTTTGTTTTATAACGTTTAATCTAGTTTACGAGACAAATAATTTAAAGGAAGGAAAAAGGGAACTTGTATAGGAAGGAATAAATACGATGCAAATTTAAACTAAGTACGTACTTGACTTTTGGAACGTGCCAGGAACGATATTTTTCAATTTTTTCTAATAAACATATACATATTTTTTTCTTATTTATTCATTTTTGTGAGGAATATAATATTATGATGATGGCGTCGTCGTAGTTTTATTGAGAATTGGATTTGTGCAGGTTTTGTAACCATAACGGTGCGTTTGACTGTATAGAAAGGCTGTTGTGTGTTTTGTTACGACTGGAAAAGAAGAAAGCAGGAAAAGAATACGTTCTTTTTTTAGAGATAGAAAAGAACCTTTCTGATTTTCAGTAGTGGTACAACAACCATCTCGTATTTGATTGATGCTCCATATTGAATAGTGTTTCTAATAATATTTTCCCTGCTTCTTTTTTTGCGCCTTTATTATTTCTTTTTTTTTATCTTTATTGTACCTTATTTTGCGTTTATTTCTTTTTTTACCTTTTTTATGACATTTGGTCTTTCTTTAACTTATTTTTTCTTTTTTTCCTTATCTTGCCTTTTTTATTTTATTCTCCCTTCTTTTTTTACTTTATTTTGACTTTTACAAGTTTATTTAGCCTTTTTCTACTTTACTTGGCCTCTTTTTACTTTATTTGGCCTTTTTTTATTAACTTTTTCGTCTTTTTAACCTCTTTTGCCATTTCTTACCGCTTTTTACCTTTCACGCCTTCATTTTGCCTTCTATTTCCTTATATTCAATTATTTCACTTAAAATTTCTCATTAGTCGACTTTCATTTATTGACATTTTTTCTCTGATCTAAGGAAATTTTCATTTTGTTGCATTTAATTAAAGAAAATTAATCTCATTATATACACTTTCTCTCTAGGAGGTAAATTTTTCCAAATTCCAAAAGTCTTAACATGAAATATTTCTTTCTAATATGAACCAGATAAGAAATATTTTTCACTTCCTATTCTAAGTTTAGACTTTATACTAGAAAATATAATTGCTTGTTTGCTTTTCTTCACATTATAATTATGATGGAGATGGTGATTTAAAGTTAAAAATTATTATTCAAAATTTTAATTATACAATTTATAAGTTATATAACTAATGATACTTCCGAATAAAGAGACACATTATCAGGTTTCAAATCAATACATAAAGTTTCAAATTTAAATAATGAACCAAAAATGTTTATATTGTCCCGAAAGTTATTTCAGTCGTTTTATTGAATTTGAATTTCGCGCCAAGTTAATTGTACAACTGGCCGTTAGATGGAAATAAAACTCGCTCATAAACGAGATGGAAATGGCCGGGTATAAATGGTATAAATATCAGTCACAGGTTAGAATTTCATTACGTTCAGTTTTAGTTATATTTGGTAAATAAATAATAATATAAATAATATAATAAATAATAAAATAATAGTGAGAGGTTTAAAAACTTATAATACAATAATAATACTAGTCATATATTATTATTAATAGAATAAATTTTATTCTTAGCTGAAAATTGGCTAATGACCAAGAAGCCAAATTCAAAGACTTATTTTCTACACTTCTGCAATCTTGGGTGAATATTGGCGATAAGAATTGGTACAATATTCAGTCAATGATTTCCTTCTTCTTTAACAAAAAAAATCCACTTGCAAAGCTTTTTCTGTTTTCAAAAAATGTAGAAGTAAATTTTAGAAATTTCGAATGGAAATTCAAATTTGAAAAGCA